TAAAAAAAAAAAAAATATATATATATATAAAATCACAAGAAATGTCATATATGAACTAAAGTACGAGTGAGTTATATAGTTTTACACTACAGCTGTTAATAGGTTTATGGCCACACTGTATAGCGGTTTGTGGCCACACTGTATAGCGGTTTGTGGCCACACTGTATAGCGGTTTGTGGCCACACTGTATAGCGGTTTGTGGCCACACTGTATAGCGGTTTATGAAACACTAGTTAGATAGAAGAGATTTTTTCTTTCATTAGACTAGTTATATTTTTTATAGTTATGTAATTATAATATATAACAAAATAATTAATTTAAGTGAGGTAGCGCAGTAAGGAAGCCTTGTACAGTAGTTAAGAGTGTGTGTTGTTAGGTGGAGCTGTGATGAGGAAGGTTGGTTGGCTGACCTGCCCCAGGCCTGTTAAAGGTGAGAGGGAGGGATATGAAGAGGGACGGAGAGGTGAGAGGGAGGGAGGAAGGAGAGGAGGGAAGGATGGGAAGGTGAGACGGAAGTGATAGTGAGGAGTGATATGACTTATAATGAACTTGGTATCCCGCGTTCTGGCTACAATGAATTTCAGGGTCAGTTGGTGGGAGTGATGATGGTGGTAGTGGTGGATAGTGATGGTGGTAGCGATGGTGGTTTGTGGTGATGGTGGCGGTGATAGGTGGTGGTAGTGATGGATGATAGTGGTGGTGGTGGTGGTGGTGGTAGCGATGGTGGTTTGTGGTGGCGGCGATAGGTGGTGGCGGTGATAGGTGGTGGTAGTGATGATGATGGTGGTGGTGGTGGTGGTAGTGATGGTGGTTTGTGGTGGTGGCGGTGATAGGTGGTGGTAGTGATGGATGATGATGGTGGTGGTGGTGGTGGTGGTAGTGGTAGTGATAGCGGATGGTGGACAGTGATGGTGGTGGTGGTGGTGATGGTGGAGAATGGTGAACGTGATATAGCCTCACAGGATTAATATACCAATGGTGTATTACAATGGCGCTGCAACATTCTAATGGTCTACTAAACTTGAGCGTTATATTGCAGAAGTACACAATGGAATACTAAAAACTTCAAAAACAAAATATAACCAACCAATTATTATTTGGATGATATTTATATATATTTGACCTTAAGTAACAGTATATATATTATTATGTGTATCGCTCAAAACTACACAAGAATATCATTTTTTTTTTAAGGATTAACTAAATCTCGGTTGATGCAAATATAACCTGCAGATGCTTTCCCTCTGTCTGTCTGTCTGTCTGTCTGTCTGTCTCCCCGTTGACAGTGCAGAACTCCATCACTTCAGCTAAAACCAACACCATATCGCCTTGAAATTCCCCAGAGGTATTTCATAACTAAGTATTCAATAGCCTATCACTTTCTCTCTTTGTTAATATTTTGGGCATAATGAATACTGTAATACATAAGCACGCAAGAGGGAGCCAATTGAGAATTACCTTTAATGGAGTGGGGGAGCATATATAACGGTAGTTCTCTTTTTGAATGTCTTATTACCTTTCATTACCTTGTGTGTGGGAGGAGGAGAAAGAAGAGGAGGGGAAAGAAGAGGAGGAGGATGAAGAGGAGGAGGAGGATGAAGAGGAGGAGGAGGATGAAGAGGAGGAGGATGAAGAGGTGGAGGAACAGGAGGAAGAAAAGGAAGAGGAGGAGGAAAAGGAAGAGAGAAGAAATAAGAAGAGGAAGAGGAAGAAATAAGAAGAGGAAGAGGAGCACTGTTTCGATGGTGCACTGTATATGTGTGTGTGTGTGTGTGTGTGTGTGTGTGTGTTTTCAGAAACTTTAAACATTCATTTTGTTTATTCATAAATGTGAAAACTTAAATAAAACATTGGCAAATTTTGCTCGTAAAATGTTGGAATTGTTTGTTACAACTTTCGTCTATTTTGAGTTGTTATTTGGAGAACAAAATTAAAGAATAGGGTATTTTAGACATTACACGTGAATGAAAATATAACAAGTGTAAATTGATGAGAGTTTGGAGAATATTACGAGACGAAATACATTACACTATTCTTTTATATTAACTTTTTCTACCCGATAATGTGATTAAGAGCTTAAATAATGAAAAAAAAAACTCTTCCCAGCAAATCGTTGGATATTTATCTAAATTGTTTCTTCTTTCGGAAATTGTGATTACGTGGACTAAATCAAATAGAATAACTTTATTTTGAGAATGTGAATCAACATCCTAAAACCGGTGTTAATGAGATTTCATGAATATTCTGAAACCGCAATAAAGAAAATTTTCCCTATAAAGCGTCGGATCCTATTGTAAATAAATCTTTCCCCCCTTCTAAGATTACATTAAGTGGAGTAAGTCAAAGAATAAAGATATTTCTAGCCATAGGAAGTGAATAAATACAAAAAAAGTTCACGAGATTTGAGTTAATGCGTAGAACCATATTCCACACATTTATTCATTATTAATAATCTATTTTTATCCATCTAAAGTTTCATTGTAAATAGAGAACCTTTGGAGAGGTGGGCCGTAGTGCACAACCCTAAGAAAATATGGTCTTACCTTGAATTAACATATCAATATATTCTAACAGTTTGGTAACGTTGAAAAGTGTATGTAACGCAATCAAAGCGAAAAGGTTAAATCCTGCTTTATTAATATTTTGACACACACACACACACACACACACACACACTCTCTCTCTCTCTCTCTCTCTTGAAGGCATGGCTGCTTCTTCACTTTTAACGCACTCTTTAAGGTAATGTTTCCCCCCTCATCATTTAATAAATCTTTAGACACACTCTCAAAGGTTGTTCTTCTTCTCATCATCTCTCTCGCTCCTCTAAATCCTCCACCATCACCTGCACCATCAATCACCTTCACCATCAATCACCTTCACCATCACCTACCAGTCGAGTAGATATGAAAACAAACAAACGGAGGCCTGGAGTTATTGTCTCGCGCAATGTTTCACTCTGCAACTAAATGAACAAACTTATGTAAATTTTGTACAGAACTGGTGTGTGTGTGTGTGTGTGCGTGTGTGTGTGTTCTAGTTATTCACCCCCTGCAATTGGTAACCCCTCATATGCTAACTAGAAACTTTGCTTTGCTCCCAGATTTTCCTAGTTAACCAATTTAATTGTATCTGAAGCAGTTAACTCGTATCTCACTATAGTTTTGACTCGTGTCTCTGAGAACTGAAACAGCGTTGGAATTCTGTACTGATGGTCGTATGTTTTGTGTGTTTGAGACGATGTATGGAGACCCTGGGTGAAATGGAAACGGAATACAGTGTTTTTGTTGCGCATTATGAGAGAGAGAGAGAGAGAGAGAGATATGGTAGGTCCTCAAAATAACATACTGTCAAATCAAGAAGCTGGCACTATGATCCCCTGAACCAAGGATCTCATTAGTTCACTTCCCCTCCCTACATCTAAGTCAGGATACAATTACCAGAGGCCACTATACACACAACACTCTCTCTCTACACCTGTCCATCCGCTGTCAATTAGGCTCCACACATCTACTTTACATTATTATAATAGGAGCTCAGTTCACTGGCTTTACCTTTAAAAAACAACAAAACACTTTTACTTGTTTACTTTCGTTATTATCTGTGTGTTTACGTTATTTACTGAGGCCATGAAAGGTATATGAGAAGTTGAGGTACTGAAATTGTTTATTGAGAGAGAGAGAGAGAGAGAGAGAGAGAGAGAGAGTAATGGTATTGGGCAGACATGTAATATAGTACTACATAATTGTCATGGTAATTACAAAATAACTGTTCCATAATAATTTCCACTATAATGAGTACCGAATAAAGCATTAGTCTTGTATATATATATATATATATATCCTCGCTCTATGTTAGTATTATAATAATTAAAAATGAATTAGATTTGTTCTTTATCGCCGTTGTTTCAGAACTTGATAACTTCAGTGGTAATTTTCTGAGGATAATCGTATATAAATGGGAATCACAAGAAACGAGAACAGGAATGGGAATTGTAGTTGGAATATAAACAAGGAATCTAAAAATACGTGTCATAAGACGGGAATAACAGATTTTTTTCCCTAAACTAACCAATGAGGTAAGGATGATGGAACCCCTGATCGGAGAAAGGGAGGAAGAGAGGAAGAACAGGAGGAAAACAGGGAAGGAGAGAATGGGACAAACTGGAGGAGGAGAGTAAAAGGAAATTAAATAAACAGAGGCTACAAACAGATTTATGTATGTGTGTGTGTGTGTATGTGTGTGTGTGTGTGTGTGTGTGTGTGTGTGTGTTATTCGTTAAATGCCTCGTGTTGTTGACGCAAACTATCACTCATGAGTGGTGAGGCTATGTACCGTGATGACCCACCCAACACCTGGAGTATCTCTCTGTCTCTCTCCTTCCTTCCTTCCTTCCTCCTATCCTCTTCTTCTCTCTTCTATACTCCCTTCCCTCCCTCCCTCCCTCCCTCCCTCTTCCACTGTCCTACACTCCCTCCATCCCTTTCTCTCCCTCTCAGAAAACACCCGACCTCATCATTTCACTTCCACCCATTTTCCAGCAACAGCAATAACCTATGGTACATTACTCCCTTCTTCTACCGGGAGGGGGCAAAGTTTCATCAAATGAGATGGACCGTTCGTCTCGACACAAACTCAAATAAATTTGTTAATTCTCTCGGTGTTCTTGGAGCTTGTTAGCGCGGTGTTAAGAGTAAGAAATTAGTCTTGCAGGTCGTGTTAATTTCCCTGAAGGGGTGGTCGTGTGTGTGTGTGTGTGTGTATATACGTGTACATGTATCTATCTTTTATGTCATCTATAACAATGAAAGCACCATAACCATCTTTGGCACCATGAACATCACAAAAGCACCACCAGTAACATCAAAATTACCATTAACGTCACCACATTGACCAGAAGCAGTAAAACGGTGAATGCTCCAGGTATCATCACCATCACAATCACCACCACAATCACCCCCATCACCATCACAATCACCAACATGAGTAATAACACCACCTACCTGCAGGGATAATGGCGAAGGCACATGGAACACTTTGCTCGCCGATGGTGTTAAAGGCCCAGCAGAGCAGCGTACCGTAATCCAGGTGGCTCTTGGGGGCGTAGCTGGCCACTGAGGTCTGGCCCTGAAGAATGACATGAAAATTAAGGTCTTTGATGATGGGAAACAAGCAACATTCAGATAAATATAGAAACATATAAAGACAAAAAAATAAACTCTAAATTGCATATAATAAACAGTTAAAATCTATAAGAAAAGTTAGAATTTTTTTTTTGTAGAATTCTGAAATGATTTGTTGAATTTTACATTTGTTTTCGCTGTTTTTATCTCGTATTTTAAATTGGTTATTTATGTATTTTATGTATTTATCTTGTTTTTATTATACATCTGAATACTTACATTTTTATTTTTTTATTTTTTAATGTAGGAAAACGATATTTTTTTTTAATTGGTGTGGATAAACGAACATACTGGAGGAAGGAGTAAATATTTGAGAACGAATGAGAAGAATAAGACAAAATCAAAGATGGACAAGAAGATGAGAAAAACAAAAAGGAAAATATGAAAAAGAAACAAAAGAAGAACAGGAAAAAAATAATCTAAGGCAAAATAACAATTGGAAGAAGAATACGGGGAAGAAATTGTCCAAAAGATGTAATGTCATCAGATTGAATAGAGGAAAGAGACCAAGGAAATGAGAAAAAAGAAAGATCAACAATATTGATGATAATAACAACAATAATATGGAAATAACTAAAAAAATACGAGAACATAACAAACAACAACTTAACAGGCACAAAGCGTTCACCATAACACTACCAGAACAAATCATCGACAGTCCACCACTACCACAACCTACACCATCATCAACACTATTACTACCAGCGATGCCATCACCATTGCCACCATCACCACCTCTACCACCATCACTACTACCAAAGCTTCTCTACCTCACGTCCACTGTGGTAATAACTCACTCTATTCACCATAGAGAAAGAAAAAGGCCAACTCAGGACATATATATATATATATATATATATATATATATATATATATATATATATATATATATATATATATATATATATATATATATATATATATATAGACCCAATGACTCTCTCTCTCTCTCTGTGTGTGTGTCACCCCGTCTCTAACACAGACATTCTCTCCTCCATTCATCTTCATTACCTCCCTCTCTACATCGTTAACGCTCGACCAAAAACTTAATATGGCAGTAGTGTCGCGTCACATTACAACGAAACTAAGACTACTCCATATATCTTGTTTACATTCTAGGGAGGGAAGGAGGTGTTGATAGGGAGGGAGGGAGGGAGGAAGGGAGGAATTGGTTGGTCGGGAGGGCCTGATAGGAATGGGGCCCATTTGACCTGTGGCCGCTGTAAAGAGACCTAGTCTATGCAGTAATGGTATTTACATAACAGACACGAGAGATTTCCCCGTCGTGTCAACTGCATAGCAAAGAACTATGATATTTTCCTTAGTGTTATTACTAGACTAGGTTAGATTAGGTTAATAGATTAGGTTAGGTTGGAGCCAAGCAGGATCAGGAAATCACTAGAACGTGGACCCTTTAGAACTGGAATCCATTAAGAACGAAGCCCATTAGGACTTGGATTCATTAGAACTATGGCCTATCAAGACAGGGACCCACAATGACTACAAAAGACGGTAAGGGAGGGAAGGAGCTCACTCATCTACTTCATCAAAATGAATCGTAAGACGATAGAGGACGGCAGGGAGAGGAGGAGTGAGGGAGAGAGGAAGGAAGAGGAGGAGTGAGGGAGGGAGGAGAGGGAGTTGTATGACAAAGGAGGAGGGGTGAAGGAGGGAGGGAGGGAGGGAGGGAGGGAGGGAGAGAGAGAGAGAGAGGAGTTATATGACAAAGAAAGAGGAGGAGTGAGGTAAGAGGGAGAATCAGAGTGAAAGAGGAAATAAGGGAAGTAGGAGGATGAGCTAATAAGACGAGAGATATGGAAGAGGAATGAGTAAGGGAATAAAGAAGCATGAGGAGACGAGAGACATAGTGAGTGAGAGAGAGACGAAACGACAGGAGAGGGAAGAGGAGGACAGGGAAGATCGGTTCAGAAGACGTAGAAAAAGGAAAAAAAAAGAAGGGAACACAGGAGAAAGGGAACAGGGAGGAAAACAAATCTGCTGACATTTGATGGAGTTAGCTAGTTATCAGGAGTGTGTCGGCCTTATGCTGGAGAGAATATTGTTATTATTATTTTTTAACTGTACTGCGAGAGGTGGATACGGTGTGGGGGGGAGGCTATCAGTCGGAGAGTAAGAGGTCGGAAGAGGAGGAGGAGATTAGAGGAGGAGGTGGGAAGAAAAGGAGGAAGAGGAGGAGGTGGGAAGAAGAGGAGGAGGTTGGAGGACGAGGTAGGAGGAAGAAGAGGGAGAAGAGATTAGAGGAAGTCGGAAGAGAAGGAGGAGGAGGAGGAAGAGATTAGAGGAGGAGGAGGAGGAGGAGGATGAAGAGATTTGATCACGATATTGGTGGATGAGGAGGCGGGATGAGGCGTGGTAATCATCAAGGAAAGGGTCACGAGGAAAGCGGTGCAGAACTCGTCACGCGGCGGCTCGAAACCCTCATTACTTAAACCTTGGCCCATCTATCAGCCTGAGACGGTCATCATCAACACACAGGAACCTAATAACTCACGAGGGAGAGACGAGAAACAAGATTAAACAAACATCGAATATCCCGCCCCCCCCCCCCTACCCAGGATGCTGATCAGGAAAGTATAAACAAGACAATATTTTACTACACAATAAAACTCCTGAGAAACACCAAGGAAAAATAACTTCAGAAAAATCACACAGTTTGGGCCTATAAGGAACACTCTAGGCCTATAAGGAACACAATTTAGGCCTATTAGGAGCACAATTTAGGCCTAAAGAAACACAAGAGTGAACCTGTAAGGGATGAGACTCAAAAGTCCGAGCTGAATATCACACAGAAGCAGATGAGAACAAGTGGAAGTCAACGAGAGAGTGGAACAGGAACAGATGTCTCCCTGGCGGCCACTGCAGCTCCCGGAGGCGACCTAGGAAGCTGTAGATGGCTATCATGAATATTCAACACCGGGGGATATACGGAGGGGGAAATGTCCGCTGCTCATATCTAACACCGGTGTCCCCTTACTCTCTCCACAGCCTGACGTGTCTAGTCTCCCCCCTGACGTATTTTGGCTTTATTTTGAAATATTTTGTTTTTTTTTCCAGCGAACTTTTCATTAAAAGTTTAATTTACATTGAAATTTTATCACGTCAGTAATTTTTATTGTTTTCCCCTATAGTGTAACTGAGGGTATTTGTTTTTAAATTTAACAACATGTAATAACGCTGCTTTAAGTGAGTTATGTTAAAAACACAAGGATTTCTTTTTATATTTATTCTTATTAATATTGCTTTTCTGTTATTCTATTTCATCTCGACTTCGTTCCCACGTTAGGATGTAAAAAAAATCAGTCTTAAATAACGACTCCAAGCATTTATATCACGAGTATATATATATAAGTTTATGCATACCGAATATCTCTCTCGTCTTATAAAATGAGGTTGGTGGTCCCCCAGAAGCCCCTTGTCTCACTCTTCGTCATGGTGGTGATGTATCGTCAGCGTCAAGCGATGTATCATTTATATCCCTCAGGCGTCGGAGCCACCTGTGTCTCACCTCCTTACCCCCGTCCATCACGCCCTCTACAGCCACACCTTCCCTCCTTAATCCTCAGTTGATCACACCTCCCTTCTTACCTAAGTCTCCACTCTGTCAACATCATCATCTCGCTTAATGCTCACTCTGTCAGCTGTCTCTGTTTTAACACCACAGTTTGTAGGTTATTTGGGTCGCATTAATTCACACGGAAGTTTTTATCAAGGTGTGTGTGTGTATAGGACGAAGGGTGAGGTCCTCGTGGGAATGAATACACGTTCTGTTTTCTCGATCTTTTTTCCTCTTCGATAAACACACACACACCTACACACAATGGTCTACTTAGTATCAATCACTAATATACATATACACCATTTACTTACATCAATGTTCTTATAATCTAGTGGTGATCCATTCCTTACCCAGGTAACGAAGATCATCAATTATTTAGGCATAGTTTTGTATCTTATCTACTTATCCTCACCACTCATCACCATCCCGCCCAACTGAGGCACCTCCACCTGTCCCCAGCAACGCCTCCCTCACACGTCAAGTATCTTTCCACTTCACAACTTCTCATATACACTAAAATGATTAAAACTTTTTATAAATAATTTCTTTCCTCTCCAGACACACTATCTCGTAATTAAACTCCCCCCATCCTTCCGTTGTTATATTTTTTCCCCCCTAGAGTTTATTTTTTTTCCCTTATGTTTTAAAATTCATTCCCGGAAAAAAAAAATATTCATTACTTGTTCAACCTACGTGTCTTCTCCGGTTACTGACCTACATACGTGATGTGCGTGGTGGGAAGGGTGGAAAGGGGGGGGTAAGGGGGTGGGGGGGGGGTAAGGGGGGTAAGGGGGTGGGGAGGGGAAGAGAAGAGAAAAGGGGGAGGGAGTGGTGACCTCTTTTCTCCCGGCTCTTTCCAGGTTAACTTAAAATACTCTCGAGTTTTAGGTCAACTTCAACTCACTTTAGTACGAGATAGAACCGCCAAGATCATCCCACCTCTTAAGTTTAGTTTACCTGTGTAACCTAATGACCTCGCACCTTTTACAATTAATCAAAACTCGAGTTTATCACTTTACAATCTCTCTCTCTCTCTCTCTTCTACACACAGTTCAATATATCCTGAGAGGTTTCTTTTCCATCTTCTGATTTTCTCTCATCTCTCTCTCTCTTTCTCTCTACTATCTCCCCCTTTTATCGTTTCCTCTTAAAATTCATCTCAATTCTTCCATTGCCTTCTTTATCGTTTCATCTCGGAGTTCTTATAAATTATTCCATATTAACTCTATCGTTTTATCTTCACTTTTTACAATATTTCAACCTCTTTCTGGTTACGTCACTTCGTGTGTCTTTTAAACTTTCAAACCATATAAACTTTTCTTAGGACTTTCTTCGCATATCATTCGTTTTTATTGATTCTTCACTCTTTCACTTCAAAATTTATCACGTTTTGAATCCTTTTTTTTATCTTCTTTATCGTTTCTCAGTTTTTAGTTTTTCATAAATTTCACCTTTCTAGATGTCACAGTTTATTTCCAGTTTATTTCTTTCATTATTCTCTTTATTTTTTTCCTTCTCACTGTCTCATAACTTTTATCATATTACTCTTCCGTCCGTCTTCATTTAGTCGTCAAAAATTTAATCTTTTTTTACTCTCTTCCTTTCTTTTTCACTTTCTCCTCCTCCCTCTCTCTCTGTCTTCTCTCTCTTTCTCCCTCCTTCTTTCCCTCCTCCCTCTCTCTCTAACCTTCTCAAGTTTTGATATATTCTTAACTGATTTATAAAGTAACCAGGTGTTATACAGTCCAAAAAGCCTTCTTGAATTACCTGTGAGTTTCTGTTCGGTTAATGAGACAGAGAACACTATATATATATATATATATATATATATATATATATATATATATATATATATATATATATATATATATATATATATATATATATATATATATATATATATATATATATATATATATATATATATATATATATATCACTATTTAATCAGTCTTCTTCTACCTTTCAAAATTTTAATCTTGTCCCGGGACCTTCTCTTTGAGTTTCATTCTCACGTATGTACCCCAGTTACTGCCCAAACACTCCACATATACTCTTCCTCATCCTCTCTCTCTCTCCTGCTTTTATCATAATCTCTCTCTCTCTCTCCTTTATACCCTCCCACACGTCACCCTTTACACCTCCATCGTATTTTAAAATAAGACATTTCTAGTAATCAAGGTTGAAGATCCAAGACTGTATACTGTAATGTTTATAATACTCATTGGGGGATAAATTGTGATTGAATTGTTTTCTCTCTCTCTTCTAGTCTCTCTCACTCCCTCTTCCATGTAACCTTTTCTCTTTCACCCTTTATCCATTTTTTTTACTCATTTCTCTATCTCCTTTTCTTCACGATTTATTTTCCCCTAATATTTTTCTTACACTCTCCCTGTACATCTATGTTTTCCTCTCTATGTCTCTGTTTATTCTTGTTATTATACCACAAACAGTCTAACTCGTGTGTGTGGAAGAGAAGGTTCACCTAGCTGTGACATATTGACACTCGTGCGTCACCTGCTGTTGAAGTGTTGACGCCACCAGAAGACTGCTCCTACCTCACTCCCAACCAATTTCTTACCTGTCGTCCAGTTATTCTTGCTGTTATAAGAAACGTGTTTTCCCCAATGGCACATCCCTATATAGTAAGGCTTATCCTTCAATGAAAATCCCCTCAACGCATTATCCTTCACTCCTATACGTATAATGATGCTTCCAGGATGTCTACCAACTTCACATCTAACGCATCCTACATTATATCCTCCCACCTCCTTCAATGGTCCTACCTCACCCTCCTATCATGGACTACCGAATCCTATATAACCCATTTTAGTCGATTCTAATTCCTTCCTTCATCTTACATCCCGAGTTAATTTTTCACACCTGTATGATAACAATGACTCGGTATCCCCCTCTGTTCATCTCTCATCTCTGACTCCTTTTATACGTCTCTCTCTCTCTCGCCCTCTCTCTCTCTCTCTCTCTCCTTACACTTCCCAGTTCCCCTATTACTTTCTTTACTCCTGCTAGCCTTTGGTTCAATTCCTCCTCCATCGTTCCATTTATCTACACATTAAGATATTCGAAACAGTCTTCTTCCTCCTCTATTCTCTTTCCTTTCAACCTGATATTTATTTCTCCTTCTCTCCCCTATCTCCCTTCATTACTTAATTCCATCCTTTTATTTTTGTTCTTATTAACTATCCAATTTCTCTGTGTACACTTTTCATCAATATTTCGTACTTTTGCGTCTTAATCACCAATTAGTACAGTGACATGAGGGAAAGGTACCATCACTTACTTCCCATTTGTATCCAGTATTATAGATACGGGACTTATAATTCTCTCCATAGCTACTTTCACATCTTAACTACTTTCACCTCCTACTTTTCTTTCTCCTTAAACAATACATTTCAATATTTCTCCATATACTTTTCCATCTATTGTGTTATATATCTACATTCATATATGACCAAATATTTTTCTCTTCCCCGGAAACTTCTATGTTATGGTCTTTAATGCAAAAAAAAAAGGATCCACATATTCTCCTCCTCATCTCAACCCACTCCTTGCGCACCAAAGGTTTAGTATACAGTGTGCTGGGCTGGTCGTACTGGAGGACAGAACACTGCACCTGGCAGTTTCCGTCACGGAGCACGAAGAACAAAACGCGGGTATTAAGTACAGTATACAACACGGGAGGCGTTATAACATGCAGGAAAAAAAATGCGTTTGAGACTGAAGGAACATTGTAAAAATGTGACACTTAGCATAATATTTACAGACGCACGTGTGTGTGGAGGAGACGGTGTCTTAAAGTTGATATCTTGTGTGACTGAAAGGCCACTGACTCACGAGGCACACACCTCGCCTAGAGCGACTCACCTGAAGGCTTAGGTGACTTGCCCGAGGGCTGGGGTGACTCACCTGGGAGGTGACGGCGGAGGCCGGGATGGGCAGGTGCTCGGAGGTGTTGTTGAAGGTCCACCTGAAGGTGACAGGTCCCGGGCTGGCCTCCACCTCGCACGTCACGCTGGCAGGCTCGTGCAGCGCCGTCCCGTAGATCGTCTTGCTGTGTCGCCGGCAGTACGGCTTGTCTGTCGGTACAATACGGTACAGTTACTATGTGTCACCGTCATCAGTATTTTACAACGTCTAAAAATAAGACCAAGAGTGTAAAACAACACACAAAAATGCCTTAGCATTTTTATAAAAAACAAAAAATCACGTGTACAATGTCGAACAATGCTCAGAACGCGGCAGAGACTTTCACCTCTTTGTCTGTATCATAAGCAAACTCGACTAAATCTCAGTGCCTAGACCCAGACCCATGCAGCCAGTCACGTAATCTCGGTAATCCTAAACACATGTATCTTAAGTGAGCGACATTAACACAGATTATTGTAACTGAACTCATAATCTGACAATCAAACCCTGTCCCACAGTACTCTACCTTACCCTCAAAATCATGAGCAAATATCAAAATTGTTATTCTATATGTAAGGGGGGCTTCAATACCATCATGTTATTATCATTATTTATTTTATATATCCTTTACACTGCTGCACGTCACCCACACCCTGTCTCTGCCTCGTTAATCTCACAGCACAAGAATAACCTACCAGTAACTCTGCTTGTCTGGCATTTCAAAGGTATTTCTAGCGGCTGTTGACATTATTATTTTTCTTCGTCAGTGTTCTTGTAGACTTATTCAACAGCAGTAATTATTGAATGTCTTAATTATCCAAGGTAGTTCCAGCCGGTACCCAGCCACCATGAAAGAGTGTTTATACTTCCCTAATGCGCCTAACAAGCTCTTCACGCCCATCACGTCTAACAAGCTCTTCACGCCCATCACGTCTAACAAGCTCTTCACGCCCATCACGCCTAACAAGCTCTTCACGCCCACACGTCTAACAAGCTCTTCACGCCCATCACGTCTAACAAGCTCTTCACGCACCTAACAAGCTCTTCGCCCACGCCTAACAAGCTCTTCACGCCCATTACGACTAACAAGCTCTTCACGCCTACCACGTCTAACAAGCTCTTCACGCCTACCACGTCAACGAGCTCTTCACGCCCACCACGTCTAACAAGCTCCTCACGCGTAATAAGCTCTACGCCCACTACGTCCGTCACGACTACTGCCGTTCACGCGTGTGACAGTGCCTCTAGAAGCAGTCAGATGCTAAATAATGTTTGAGTAATATGACAGTAATACAGTGCTGTGAGAGAGAGAGAGAGAGAGAGAGAGAGAGAGAGAGAGAGAGAGAGAGAGAAGACCAACGTATGTTTCTCACGTCGTGTTAAAGTGTGCTTTAAAGCTGCGAAAAAATAAAATAATCGTCAAGAATTAAAAAAAAAAAAAAACGAAAACAAACGAATTTTGTAGTACAGTTGCGTACAAAATTCTCTGGGCACATGACAGCATCTGGAATATACTTAATGGAATCATATATGCGATTGGTTTATAGTCGATATACACCTGTTTGTTGTTATATATTATACCAATAGAACAATATATATATAATCAGTATATAATGCAAAGAACAACCATGTTTTATCCCTAATCATCCATAACTACACGACCCTCGAGTAGATGGCACCACATGTTGAGAAAACTCTCCAGGGAATTTCCTCAGCAAATGTACCATCACGACAGCTTTAGGTAATGTAATATTGATAAGAGGAACGTAATTCACCTTCTAAGCTGTCTACCTGCACATGCTCTCACGAATTCTGTTTTACTAAGGTACGGTACAACTTCCCCTGGTGCCTTTAACTAGTTCATCGCTTCATTATTCAACTCCCTCCTTCAGTAGTCTCGTCGTCAGGGAGTTATTGATTTAAGATGCCTGTCAGTTTGTATCTAATAACATGTAATTTTTAATAATATTGATCATAACTTAAATTTGTGGTTATTATATGTCTTTGTAAGTTTAATAGTGAAATACTTATTGTGTAAAAAATATTGTTATTTACTGGTGGTGAAACAGAAATAATTTCACTTATTTGTTCTTAAATTCCAGATGCTGTGTTGTCAAGTCTTTATTTAATTTCTTTACGATATCCAGGGCAGGTGAGGAGGACAGGTGAGGAGCGCAGGTATCCAGGGCAGGTGAGGAGGACAGGTGAGGAGCGCAGGTGAGGAGGGCAGGTGAGGAGCGCAGGGTGGTTTAAAAAATGCTGTTAATTAAAGAATGGAGTTAGAAAAAAAAGCGAAGTATTTATTGGTATTATCTGGAAATCATTTGATCTTATTCCTCATTCTGGATTACGAGGGGGAGTCAAGGACGGTTTATTAGTTTGGTCGAGGATAAACTTAAACTTTCTGTTCATAATGTTCATAATGTTCATAATGTTCATAATGTTCAAATCAACTTCAGAAAAGAACAAGATGATGTGTTACGAGCTTCAACAACTACCACCATTCGTTCATACACTTGAAAAAAGCAAACAAATATTACGATAATTAAATCTTTACAATGTTTATTATAAAAAACATCTGTGTTTATTGGTGTTTTTTAGTATTAGAAAAAAGTCGACTACTGCCGTCTATTAAATAAAAATCAATAATGGATGATTGCAATAATTTACAATTAATATTTAACAACATTTACTCAGTTTCCACGTTTTCATTGTTTCGTGTTTTTTTTCCCACCATTTCACAGAACACTACTGTGTGAATATGACCTAACAACATCGAAATATTTTGTAGAAGAACTGAATACTAATGTTGTGTTGCGGCTTCACATACAGGGTTGTCAGGTTGTGGCATAATGTCACCTGGTGTCATAGTTCACACAATGATGACAGACACGAGGAGATGTATGGAGCAACTTGAAATAACGATAATAGTTGTGTTTACTGATTCAAAAAAATGTTTCCTTTTGCAACTTATTTTTTTTTTATCTTCGAGTTCGTTCATAACTTTATTTGCAAGTTTGTTTGGCGACAATATTGTTTGTGGACAACTTTCTGACATTGCCAGTTCCAGACTCAACGTGTCTGCTGCTAAAATGAAATATGATTTGGAGTTAAAATTGTGATGCTTTTGAAACCCGGAAACTATCCCCCTCCTCGAAAAAAATAATGAAAATAAAAAAACACATTTGAAAACCAGAAAGTGATGTAACACGAGAATTTTTATTGTTATGTAGCCAGCAGGGACCTAGAGAATAATAAAACATTTTATATTTACGTTGAAAAATACAAAAAGCAAATAAACAAGATATAGTGGACACAAATGACTAGCCGGAGAACTAAACAGAAACATAAATGCAAACTGGAACATAAAATAATGTCACACCCTGGCAGACACTCACACACTGACCCACAAGTGATCCTGGCAGTCGACCATATAAAAATAATCGATGAAAATTATACCCCAGAAGAATTATTTTTATTTATATACAAAGAGGAAGGGGAAGGGGAATTTTGATGTTATAGAATTTACGTGAAACCTGACGGTGGATGAAGTTATACCGTAGGTTTGACACATAAAGAAGGTCTCCTTAAAGTGTCAGGAATAACTGGGAGGAGTGACGACGGGGAGATTACAAGAGTTTAACCACTTCGGCAATACCTTCGTCAAAGTCGGGAGAATGGAAGCTGAGATATCATAGTGTGTGTGTGTGTGTGTGTGTGTGTGTGTGTGTGTGTGTGTGAGAGAGAGAGAGAGAGAGTCGCGCGGGGCAGGCAGATTGTTCGGGCCTCCAGAAGAATGGAAAAGTTTGCTTAAAGAATTGGTGAAATCTTTGCTATTGTGTGCCATTGGAAACGTAGATCAATAACTTAAGAATGGCTGGCAGGATGAATACGAAGTGAGTACGCGGACCAAAAACCCACTGGGGCAGGAATTACGAAAAAGAATTTTCGACAGTAATGGTGAAGTTTTTAATGTAATGTGGACAGTTGGATGGACGGGTGAGCAGAGAATGAATGGGAGAGTGGGTGTATGAGGAGAGTAATGACATTTGTAATGCACAAACTAGAGTTAGGTGGAGGAGGAGGGGGTCTTTACACACCATTCGCAAAATCTTAAGTTCGAATTAATTTGACAGTCAGAATTACTAAGAACACTTCAATAATTCTTTGTTTCTTACACTAGAGAGCAGCATTGAAATATAACGATACATACTTATTCTATAAGTTACAACTGACCAATAACACAGTAAGTAAATTCAAGACGACGCAGATGTTTTGGTTAACTTGTACACAACTTCTGATACCCGGAGCAAAACAGCCGTAACGAACTCGTAAACAACCGCAAGAAAAGTGTGAGCAAATTTAATGCATCTTAAGGCAAAACACAGCGAGTTTCCTTGTGTAATTTTTTCTTGGGGATAACTGAGGTGTTTTATTATTGTGTGTGTGTGTGTGTGTGTGTGTGTGTGTGTTGCGTGACCCTGCTAATAAATGTCTCAATATGTACACGTGTCTGTCTGTCTGTCTGTAGGTACTCCACGTTCTCGTAGCTCTCAACACGGTAGTTACATTACACACTAATAATAGACCAGAAGATAAACGCTTTTGGTATATTGGCTGTAATCAACACGGGTGCCAGTGCCAGCTTACTCATGAGTGAAGTAGACAGTGTCAACTCACACATGACTGAGATAGACAGTGCCAACTCACACAAACCTGAAGTGGACAGTCCCAACACACATAATGACACTGAAACTGACAGAATGACGGTAATAAAAAAAAACACATAAAACTCTTGAGAACTGACAGTAACTCACACATGACTCTGAGGTTGACGGGTTGACTCTCGCCATTGCCTTCAGTGTTAATGGCGGCGCAGGTGTAGAGGCCCGCCGAGTCCCTGTTGATCTTCTGAAGGACCAGCGTCTGGTTCTGAAGGATGATGCCCCGGGGTACACGATGTTCCACGGTGACGCCCTGAAGGTGGTGAGACACAGGTTAGGATGGTGATGAGACTGATTTGTAGATTTTTATTTTTTTGGGCTAATTGATTGATTGATTTGGGTTGATTGATTGATTTGGGTGATTGATTATTTTGGCTAATTGATTGATTACTTGATTTAATTATTGATTGATTGGTGTTTAATTATGGTTGAGTGAATGACTTAATTGACTGAAGAAGACGAAGAAGATAGAGAGAAGAAGAAGACAGAGAAGAAGATAAAGAAGAAGTGAAGGAAAGTCCGCTAAACAGAAACACAACAGCAACTTGGAACGAACTGTACCAGAAGAAATGAAAAAAATCGGATGAGAATATGTAAAGAGACAACAGTGTATGAGAAAGAAAGAAGAAAGCAAGAGGAGAAAGAGGAAGGGAAGGAAAAGAAAAGAGGAGGAGATAGGAGAAGGAAGAGAAAAGAGGAAGAAAGGAGAGGGAAGAAACTCTTACCTCCTCTCTCCCGCACAGAGGCCACAAGCTCTCTCTGTCCCTCTCTCTCAAACTCTCTTTTCTCACCCTCTTCCTTCACTCTCTCCACCCTTACCCTCTCACATCACACTTTCTCCTACCACCCTCTCTTTCCCCACTCTCTTGCCCTTTCCCTCCTCTTCCCTCATTCTTCTCCTCACTCTCTTTCCTCATACTCTTCTCTCCCACCCTCACAGTTCCTCGGCCTACCTGAATAATAAAGGAAGTAACCCACCTTCCGACCTCAGTCCCGTTAATACCGAGTGACATACTTCGTGGCTCCCATCAACTGTCACCCTAATGGCGTTCCTTACTTCCTCTGATCGCCCTTTTTTTATACTTTATTTCTCCTTGTCCTCTTCTTTATCTTATTTTCTTACTTAAATCTTCGTAAAATTTCTTTCCCTTGTTCCTTACTTTATTTTTCTTTTGTTTGTTAAGATTTTTTTTACCTTTCTCCACTTTCTTTCACTCTTTAGTTTAGCCTTTACTTTTCTTCGTCTTTATTATTACTCTTATTTCAATCTGTCTCTAACTCTTCTATCTTTTTTTCATAGCTTTCCTTTCCTCAATTCTCTCTATTTTCTACTCTACTCTTACTCTCCTACCACTACTTTACTACACAATCTCTCTATCTCTCTTCCTTCCTCATGTCAATCTTCCTCCTCCCTTTAGTTGTCTATTTCCTGTTATCCTTTATTGTCCCTCGCCCAGGTATAAGCCCACATTTCTGTCCACTGCTCTGCCACACTCCACCTTTCCTCCCTGTCCTCCCCCTCTTCCCTGTCCTCCCCCTACCCTTCATCACCTTCTCTTCCCCCCTCTCCCTTCACCTTCGTCTGTGGTTTGAATCTAGACTCCGCCACTCTTCATCATTCCTCCCTGGTCCCTTTCACTGTGGCCTGAGCTCATAATACCGCGTACTTCATCTCTCTAACCCCTTATCCACCTCCTCTGGTCCTTGTGCTTGCGGTGTGAGGCCAGACTCCTGCTCTATACACTCCTCCACACTTGACCTTTCCTCTCTCGTGTGTGGAGTAACGCCAAAGTAAAGATCATTCCTCCTTGTTTCCCCCCCTGCTCTCACCACCACTCCCATAGGTGCTAGCAATGCCTCTGGGGACCTCATGAAGTTCCAAGCTCTGCAACTTTCTGTGAGTCAAGAAAACTATCGACTGAAGATTTGACTTGTTGTTAACCTTCAAGAACCTCTTCTCACGTGTAAACAAAATAACAAACACACAATAACGAAAAAAATAAACACGACTGGATGACGGCACGTTTTACTGGGGGCTGACATAGACTACCACATATCAATTAGTCAGACCTCACACATGACCATCAGTAACAAGGAAAGTTTTCTCGTTAGACAGAGGCGTGTTGGAGCTCCACCATATATAGTGTTTGTCTGGCCAAGGTGAACATAGATGTTAGAATGGTTACTATATACACACGCATGACTGTCTTTGATTATGAGATTACGTTCACTGTTCAACATGTCCGCCTTACTCGAGCGACCACCTTACTCCAACGACCACATTACTCTCACCTTACACAGCGATCATCTTAAGATTAGGGCAACTTGAAGGAGTGAAAGTGTGCGATTTAAGAGTCGACTGCTTTCTCCAGAGAGCGAGAGAATACACAAGAGACACACGAGAACTCTACCAGTGAGAGAGAATAAACTGAAATCGTGGGGAATAATAGGAAAATATTTTACCTGAAGCACATCATTATATTTACGCTTCGTTCACTGTATCCTCTCTCTCTCTCTCTCTCTCTCTCTCTCTCTCTCTCTCTCTTTTACCCGTTTCTCTACCTAACTTGTTTTCTTCTATCATTCTTTGTTTACTTCCCAGTCTCTGTTGTTTTATCCCAATGATCCCTTCCCTTAATTAGCCCAAATCCGAGGAGGGAGGTTGAAACAGAGGCTCATTAGGACGGAGGTCTATTATAATTAAGGTCTATTATAATTAAGGTCTATTGTAATTAAGGTCTATTGTAATTAGGGCCTCGTAAAACTGGGGCCTATTAAAACCGGGGCCTATTAAAACCGGGGCCTATTAAAACCGGGGCCTATTAAAACTGGGGCCTATTAAAACCGAGGGCTATTAAAACCGGGGCCTCTTAAAACTAGAACCTATTATAACTGGGGCCTATTATAACTGGGGCCTATTGAAACCGTGACCCATTAAAATTGATAACCTATTCCAATTTAAGCCTAGAATTAAAGTTTATTAAGACTGAAGCCAATTAGGAATTTAAAAAAAAAATAGATAAATGTATACCAATTAATTCCCCCCAAATAAGTGATTATTCATACATACAGTCATTGGTGAATATACATAAACATACACTGACTATACATATGTTGCGTGAAAATACTAAAGCCTGTACATACAACCCCAAAAAATTATCTTTACGGATGGGTCTAATTACTTTCAAAATAACTACGACTCTTATTAGAAAGGAAGAATTAATAAAAAAAAAAAAAAACACTTCCATTCATTGTGTCATTATCTTACACAAAATTAAGATACTCTATTGGATTGTATATACAGTGAATCAAGAGCTTGCTGAGACTCACATTGTGGTACCAGAAGACCCGGCTGACGGTGGGGTTAGCATTGATGTGACACTCAAAGTATACGTCGTCCCCCTCTTTGATGTTGTCTGGGTTGAGACTGCTGCCCATCTGTAGCGTCACCACTGGCTTGTCTGTATCAGGAGGAAGATAAGGAAGGAGGAAGATTAGTCATGTTTGTTAGATTGATTTAGGTTTTTCACTTTTTTCATTACTTGTCGTCTCTATCTCTTTCTTACACTCTATTTCCTTACCACATGAGACACTACCACAACTATCAACCATAATCAACCATACACTACAATAAATTAGCATCTCCATAACAAGAACCATAGCCTCTAGCTTTTAAAACGACTAAGAATTATTATCAAGACATCAGAACACTATTTTACACCATTCTCCAAAAGTAATCACAGGTTACTTTGGAAATCAATCACGTCGTCATTGTGTTCTCAGCTTAGCCTCCTTCTGAAAGCGACAATTTGTAAAAGGATGGATGGATTTTCCCGAGGTATCTGGCAAGTACATTATTCTCTCCCCTAAAAAGCTTCGAACGAGCTTGATGATAAGCATAATCCATAAAACGAGACTAAGGAAGCTTGAGGATATACTTTGTTTCTTGTTGGTGTGTTTTAAAGGTATATATATGCAGACTAATATTAGTAAACGCGTATATGTATATCTTTTCAAACAAGGTGTCATGACTAAAACAAACGGTATCCAAGTTTCCATGTTAAAAGTCGTGAAAATCTTTAAATTCTATATATTCATCAACTTCTGGCTAAGCTTTCAAGTAATTTACAAGACCTTTATATCTTTCTTTGTCTATTTCGTGGAGTTGGTAATGAAATCCAAATTACTGTATTAATAATATCGTTTTGAGTAGATATCTTGATAAACATAACCCAGTTCATTTGATATAGTTCCTCTCAGGTGTTATGGTGTTACCTGAGAAGACAATGATGATGAAACTCTTCCCCAAGATTAACTACGACTCTAAATTTTTTGTTATATTTGGATCATTACAATTTAACTCCGCTAATTGAAAAAAATAATGTTACGCGAGTTAAATGACGAAAACACTGAAATATGAACCTTTAAACAAACTTAATTCTGGAAGACAACCAAGTTTCAGCAGGAGAAGGTTTCATAATTATTCCCTACTGAGGAGTGATATGTTCGGGTACGGATTTAATGAAGCAAAAACATCTTTATTAACCTTGTTAGCCCAGAGCACCCCCCCCCCCTCCCCCCGATGCTGCTGTCGACCGTGTTGATGTCACCTGGACGATATTAAAATTTAAAAGCAATTAATAATTTTCATAATATTTATCAATGTGTGTGTATAGAGATGACCTATAAACAGCTGTCGATCAACATCTTACTACCTTAGATAAAAAACGAACGTCCTAAATCCTATAAAACTTCGCGGAAAGACAAAGTGTTTGGGATAAAGTGACTTTCTTATTGTAAGTAGTAAGCCACATGGTTAAAGTTATAAACGGAGAAACAAAACAGTGGAGTTTATAAGGGTAACAACTTAGGTCAAAGTTATCATAGTAACATCCCCAAAGTTATGAGGCCAGTTATCATCAGTGTTATCTTCCTCACAGTAAAATAACACAACACAATAATCCGAGGCGACAGGTCACAGAATTATCCTCGTTACACATCACCTACCGTAACTATCTAACTATCCCAAGCTACACGTTACAGTACCATTAACGTTACACAGTACACACCATAATGAGTCCTGGGTATGATCAGCGTTACAGCACAATTACCAAGCGTAACCACCAAAATTACAAGTCACAATATCATCTTCGTCACAAACACACCATCACCTGGACAACATCACAACACTATGTGACGAATCAATACCCAGCATTACGATCAATCTCCTTAGTACCCTCACCTTCACCCTCACCTCCAGTTTAGCACAATAGCCACCGTAACAACTTGAGGTAACACGTGTCAAGGGGTAGTCTCCCTCTCATGTTGTTAATACAGAATGACATTAATCCGGACTATGAGAGGCTCTCTACCTCCTGCCACTGTTTACTCCTTCGGCAGTAAAATATGGTGTGGCGGTCCCCTCCTCCACGGTGGTGGCTCCTTGTTGGTCTGGGACTAACAAGGACCAAGCAAGGCGAACAGCTTCTATGGTGCTTATAAAGAGGTTTCAAAGTTTCAAAAATGCTCTTGTGTATTTCAAGTTTACTTTTGTCTAGCCTTCAGGAACGTCCGTGAGGTGAACTCCCACAACTCAGAAACGACTTTGGATTTTCTTGGGGGTTGAAGGAGGCTTATGTTACCGTCTTATGGATCTTATGTTAAGTTACCTGTGTGGTAGCAGGTTGAAGTTATTTGTGTTAGTGTTCATATATTCTCTGAGTAAAGCCGATCGATGGTTCTTCTACTCGTAACAATGGTTTCTGTTGTTCAAGTTACTAAACCAACATTGATAAACATATTTCTTTTTATTCCCGTCTGAAGAGTTCTTAATGTAAGGAATAATTTAATTTAATTTTGTACTTTCTTACTACACTTCACTTATTATTTGATTCTTTCTTCTTATAGACTTTTCTTTATCATGAAATTATCTATAAACAAAAAGATCATATTTGTTAACAGATCTCTTTTGGGATAAGAGGAGACAGAACGACACAAACGATGACACGACCAACACCACATCTTACAGAACAACGACACAAACGATGACACGACCAACACCACATCTTACAGAACAGAAGACACCAAACACGCCACACAACAAAGTGTCTCAAGCACTTGCGTTCAACATTAAAGACCAACAAGAGCCGCAAGCAACAGCCGTCGTGAATAGATAAAGCCGATTCGGGGAAGAACTGAAGCGAGTGTATGTTAGTCAGGAGAGAGAAGACAGTAATATAACAGTGGGATGTGAAAACGTGTGCAAAGGCGTGAAAAGAGATTTGTGGTGAAGGTAAACACGATAGTTTTACGAGGTGCATTAAGGCGTGGGCAGGGGAGGAGAAAGGGTGACTTGTGAGGGACGCTCCCACCTACACGCTAGTGGGGCAGGACACAAGACGAGGCGGTGTAACGACGTCCAAGATGAGGCTTATGTTCTGTTAGTTCTTGATGTTGTATTTAATGTGTGTTTGGAATGACGTGTCTTAAATGTAATAATAGTAATAATAATACTAATAATAACAATAATAATAATAATAATAATAATAATAATAATAATAATAATAATAATAATAATAATAATAATAATAATCACGAGTTTTCCACAAACATCAGAACAAAGGTTGAGTCTTAGCCTGAATTGTCGTTTGTGTTGGAGATATTTTTCTCTTCAAGGATTTCTTTATTTTTTCTCATCGTAAAAGCACGTCTCGCTACAGAGCTGAGATTATGGAGGTGGGTCGACATGAAAGAGTTCTGTGAATTTCAATTAAATATTTGAATAATACAGTCGTCGAACATAGGACGCAAATCCAACAATGAAAAAAAATGAATAATCAGATAATTATTTGCATAATCTTAAGTGAACAGAAATTTATACATCATAGGTAAATATTATCTTAGGTGTTTGTTCCTTTGCAATTATAAATAGAATGAAATCCACTTGAAGATCGTGTTTATCAAGTCAATTGCGTTCTCCATCATTTTCTACACATAGCTGTACTTTTTGCCATGTCTGGAAAGAACATACTGGTACTGTGGACTTCTTGTGTAATGCATAGTTTTGCCAAGCTTCCACCTTTAACTCCGTGGCAAAAGTAAGTGTGTGTGTGTGTGTGTGTGTGTGTGTGTGTGTGTGTGTGTGTCTGTGTGTGTGTGTCAACAAACTTCCAGATTAATAATAACAATCTCTATAACTTCCCCCTCCTCCTCCTCCCCCCAAAAAACGAACACAACAAAAAGTACAAAAATACAAACCCATAAAAGAAAACAAGAAAAAATCTAGAAAAAAACACGAAAAAAAAAGAGTTTCTCACAAAATCGCATCTATCCACAAGTAATCCGGATTTTCAGTCAAAAACAACCCCCCTTCCTACGTGACTGGAAAGTTAGTATGCGTTCGTGACCAGCAACCCATCAGTTGGATCAGGCAGAGTGGGGTGCATATGCAAGGGTTAGATCAGAGGGAGCGGGTATGAGAGGGGAAGGGGTGGAAGGGAGGGGAGAAGGGGTGAGACGGGGTGGGGGAGGAGGAGGGGTGGGGTGGGGAGGAGGGGTAGGGTGGGGTGGGGAGGGGTGGGTTGGGGAGGAGGAGGGGTGGAGTGGAGAGGGAAGAGAGGGGGGGCAACAACCAACCTATCCTCCCACCCAACCACTCACCCACCCACCCAGCCGCGCCTGCGTAATCGTTTCTAGTAACGAGGGGAAACAATGAACAAGTTAAATTGACTTGTTAAAGTTTATTCGAGTTTTTAAATTCAAAGAAGAGAGCATGGTAAAGTCTGTGTCGAGGGGGGAGAACATGAAGTGGAGGAGGGAGGAAGGGTCTGAAGGAGAGGAACGGAGGGAATGCCTGGAGGGAAGTGAATTTACCACTCTGATACTGGATAGCGGTAATGTTACAGGTAGGGTAGGAGATGAGGAGGAGGGTACTAACTCTTTCTCTTCTCTCTCTCTCTCTCTCTCTTTACTCATCTTTCTCTTTCTGTCACTATACTTCTCTCTATTCTTTTCTGTATGTCTCTATTCATCTCTCTTGTCTATGTCTCTGTCTCTCTCTGTGTCTCTCTCTCTCTCTCTCTCTCTCTCTCTCCACCTCGTTCCTCTACCTTTTTTTCTTCTTCTTTTAACACCATCTATTTTCCTTCCTGTCTTTTCCCCTAACCTCTTTCTCTCCCTTTTCACCTTTTACCTTCACATGTTTCCTTCCTTGTCTCATCTCCCTGTTGACCTGTTTTTCTTCCCTCACCTCCCTCTCTTTTTTATACTTCCTCTGCCTCCCTCTCTCTCTCTTCATCTCTCCCTTTCCCCTCATTATGACACCCTTTTATCCCTGCTTCCATTTCTCCATCCTCATTCCCTCCCTTTCTCCCTTCTTCCCATTTACCTTTTTCATTCTCCCTCTTCCCTCACTCACCCAAAATCTCCCTCCCTTACCATACCTCTCCCCCATCTCCTTCCC